TTAAGACTTCTAGGTTTCCTCCTCCATGTTCCTCTTCCTCCATGTTGATCCTTTATATTCCTCCAAGTTCCTCCTCCTCCTCCTCTTCCATGTTCTCTTCTTCCATGTTGTTCCTCCTCCTCCTCCTTGTTTCTTCTCCATGTTCCTCAACCTTCATATTCCTTCTCCATGTTCCTCCTTGTTTTTCCTTCCTTCCTTCCTTCCTTCCTTCCTTCCTTCCTTCCTTCCTTCCTTCCTTCCTTCCTTCCTTCCTTCCTTCCTTCCTTCCTTCCTTCCTTTCCTCCTCCTCCTCCCATGGTCCCTCCCCCTGATGAAATGAGTATAACCCACAAAAGTTTAGCAAAATATAATTGATTAATCTTTAATATATTGTTAACATTTCTCTTTTTACTCACAACTAGCACACTTACAGCTAGAGAATAAAATAATTTCACAGAAATGTACGAGATATTCCCAGATTGTATCCATTTTAGAAAATATTTCTGAGCTTGGTAAACAAGTATTCTTTATCGTCTGTTGTATGCCGCCTAGAGTCGGTTCTCATAGATGGGCAGCTATATAAATTTGATCAAAGGATTAGAGGAGAAAAAAAGAGTTAGCCATCTATTTAATTGCTTGGCTATGTGTTATCCTTCCTTCCTCCTTCCAGACAGCATATATTAAGCAGGAAATGCTATCAACGTTTCTAGAATTCCATGATTGACTTTGGCTGGTTATTAGGCTTTTTCAATGCTTCAGATTCGTTTTCCAAAAAGTGCTTTGAGTGTGCAGGTGTATGAATTGGTACCCATCTGTACCATTTTAAATCAGCCTATTCTTTGCGGTGAAGTGGGAGGTCTCCTTGGCTGCACTAAATAGTTGCTATGTAATTTTGGGCGAGAAAAACATTATTTTAAGCCAGTATTTTTCAACCTTGACAACTTTTAAGATGGATGGATTTCAGATCCCAGAATTCTGCAGCCAGTGGAATTCTAAGAGAGGTCCACTCATCTTAAAATTGACAAATACCATTTTAAGCTATTGCAAGCAGGTGTTGTATTCTTTCTCCTGAACCATCTAAAACATTTTTGGGAGATCAAATTGGAAGAGTTGCACAGACCTACTGGCTACAGGTAAGTCCTTGACTTACAACCACAATTGGGAACAGAATTTCTATGGCTAAGCCGGTTGTTATGTGAGTCGCTTTCAATTTTACAACCTTTTTTTTTGCTAGGATTGTTAAGTACATCACTGCAGTTAAGTGAATCATGTAGGTCTACCTTTTCCCATTGACTTTGCTTGTTGGCTGGGAACACCACAAATAGTGATCACATCATCCCAAACTGATTGCTAAATGCCTGAATTTTGATGATGTGACTGTGGGGTGCTGTGACGGTCATAAATGAAAGGACCGATCATAAGTAACCTTTTTCAGTGCTGTAATATGTTTGAACAGTTGCTAAATGAATGGTTATAGGTCAAGGACTACCTGTAATGCTAAAGGAGGTGACATGGCAATTTCTTGTTGCTGTGGGCCTCTTTTGAAAAGGCTATTTGTCCTATTTGTGTTCATGAGAATGAACACACCCAACCTCTTTTTCTTGTCATTTTCATGATGGGAGACTTGTGTTAAACATAAGGGATCCATTCCCTTTCGATCAGTATCCATTTCTTTTCTGCTTTCCATACAGAAGAGTGACAGAGTAATAGAATAACAAAGTGGAATGGACTTTGGAGGTCTTCTAGTCCAGAGGACTGCAACCTTGAGAACTTTAAGACTTGTGGACTTCAGTTCCCAGAGGTTCTGGGAGCTTAAGTCCACAAGTCATAAAGTTCTCAAGGTTGCAGACCTCTGTTCTAGTCCAATCCCCTATTTAGGCAGGAAACTTTATATCATTCTGGACAAATAGCTGTCCAATCTCTCCTTAAAAACCTCCAGCGTTGGACCATCCAAAGCTTTTGAAGGCAAGCCATTCCTCTGATTAATTGTTCTCCTGTTAGGAAATTTCTCCTTTTTTCTAGATTGATTAGTTTCCCTCTGTTCCTTCTTGTCCTGCCTTCAGGTGCTTTGGAGAACAGCTTGACTCCCTCTTCTTTGTGGCAGCCCCTGTGATATTGGAACATGTTATCATGTCTCCCCTATCCTTAGACATATCTTTTTCTTGCAACTGTTCTTTATATGTTTTAGCCTCCAGTCCCCTAATATTTTGCTTGGCATCATCCTACAATTGTTAATAGTGCTGGGTTTTTTGTCCTTCTCTCTACAAGGTTCATTCAGATTCTTTCAGGTAACTCCTTACTTGAAAAAACATTCTGTCCCTGTCTCCAGAATCACTCTTCTTTCCTTCCTGTTTCCTTTTGCATTACCCAGACAAATGAAAGTTTTAAAACTCGATTTTGGATTGGAAATGTTTCAGCTGGTTGTTAGGGGCTGCATTTTTAAGGAGGCATCATCATTTAAATGATGAAATGCTATATCCTGCAGACAGAGGAGAAAATGGGATCTGTCAAATAGCTCCCACCTGCCTTGGAAAGTGTTCATAATCCTCATTTTTGGACTGAGCAAGTGCCCATGGCAATTTGCCTGCCTGCTAATTGCTTTCTGGTCTGTGGCAGGAGAACCAGCTCAGCCTTGTGCCAGTTGGCATGACACTCCAATGTCTCTTTCTTCCAGTAGTAACTGGGGAACTGGCAGGGCTCCAGGGAAGAGCAGATTTAAGGCTTCTATATTCAATGGGGATGGAGAAGAGGGTAGGAATAAACCTCTGGGGACTGCAGTTTGTCTAGCTTTTCTCCGTTCTGCTCTTTGGAGATCCCATAACTAGCAGCCTCTACCAGGAAAGATTTGCCTCTTTCTCTGATGCGAAGAACGAAGGGAGTTTGCCTGAAACTGAGAAAGCAGGAAAGGAAAAAAGAAAGGGAATGGAAAAAACAAATATTTGGCTTCACAGCTTTAAAAACAAACAAAAAAAAGAGTAGAGACAAGAGAGAAAGCAGAAAGACAAGACAATGTAATTCCCCCCCCCTACTGTACAAAGAAAGTTTTCAAAGATGTTAATGGTCTTCCTTTTTCTAAGCTCCATTGTCTAGTCCAGTGGAAACCTGTAACTGTTGATTGCAGAACCTGGAATTAATGCAAATCTGGAAGGCTTATGGTTGAAGAGGACTGAACTAAAGCTCAGTTTCATATTATTGAGATTTTGATCATCACAATGAGACAGTCAGTCTCCTTCTGCTATAGAGATTTCTGACTCTTCTCAAATTTTAGCGTCTTCTCAAATTTATGTCCATGTGTATTTGTGTTCTTGGAATCTCTTTGGATTATCATCCAGGACAGATTGTTTCTCATTGAAAGCTACGGGACTTCACAAAAACCCTAGCATAGCTAAGGGCACTTAAATTTTTGTTAGAAGGATATCTGCCAACATTTTCTCTAACTATTTCCTAAGCCTTTCTTGACTCCTCCCCCAGTTCTTCACAGCTTGGATCACAAAACTAAGTGGCTATAGACATAGAGATCGCCCAGATTTGGAATAGAAAAATTTGCTTAGTTGCCTGGAAGATTTCTTGTGGGGTATTCCAATGGATGACCTCAGGTAAAGAAATAAGGCAGACAAGGTGAAAGAATGAACATTGATCCAGTAGATGAATAAAGAGCTCCTAGCTTCTATCTTGTCCATCCACTAAATAGCTAAGAGGTTGTGAATTGCATTTTGTTTTCTTTGATCATTACAGTAACCTTTGCAATCATGTACTTCCCTTGATGGAATCTGTACAGGTGGTCCTCAGCTTAAAACCATTCATTTACCAATCATTTGAACTTATGGTATTGTTGAAACAATTGATTTATGACCTGTCTTCGCATTTTCAACAGTGGTAATATCCCTGTCATCACATACCTTGTGATTCAAGCACTTGGCAATCAACCGTTTTGTTGACTACGGCTGCCGTGTTCTGCGGTTATGTAATCACTATTTGTAACTTTCCTAGCTAGCTCCCTGCAAGCAAAGTCAATAGGGAAAGTTGGATTTACTTAACAACCACATGATTCTATTAATGAACAGGTTAAAAAAGATTGTAAAATCAGACATAGTCACGTGATCATTCATCAAATGACTGCATTGCTTAGAGATGGAGGTTCTGGTCCCAAATTCTGGGGTACCCATATTCTGCAAGGCAAGGCTTCTTGGTAGAAATATTCCTACTTTCAAATAACTGCATAACAAAAACTTGTACAGGTAGCCTTGATTTACAACCATTCGTTTAGTGAGTGTTCCAAGTTACAACAGCACTAAAAATGTAAATTATGACACTTTTGACCATCATAGCATCCCCATGGTCACATGATCAAAATTCAGACGCTTCGCAACTGATTCATGTTTACAGCTTTTGCAGTGTCCCAGGTTCATGTTTTTTGCGACCTTCTAACAAGCAAAGTCAATGGGGAAGCCAGATTCACTTAACAACCATGATATTAACTTAAGAAATGCAGTGATTCACTTAACAACTGAGTCAAGGAAGATCATAAAGTGGGGCAAAAGTCACTTAACAATTGTCTTGCTTAGCAACAGAAATTTTAGGCTCAATTGCGGTCGTAAGTCAAGGACTACCTGTAACTTCTGTTGCCTTCTTTGGCAATTTAATGCTGCCACTTGAAAGCAAAATATGTTGTTTGTTTTGATAACAGTTGTCCTGCTCAATATGCCTTTTTTGGGAGGATTGTTAGCCTGTCTTTTTTTTTGTTTTGTTTACCTGATAGTTTTTTTGTTCTCAGGTCCGACTTACTCTGCAAGCTTCATATGCCTAGAATGTGCCTGATAATCATAAACGATACACCAATAATAGCATTAAGCAGATAATGAGAACAATCTTGTGTAATGGTAAATGCGCAGATTTTAAATTCTAGGTTAACCTGTTTTTCATCTTCCTTCCTCTCTTTACATTCCTCTCTGCACATCTGCAATCTACAGATTACTTTTTGAAGGGATCTGTTGGAAAAGAATTGTATTTTCCTCTTGCAGGATCTGGCATGAATTTATTGCAGATTCGGGAAAAAGTTTGGAATCCAGTCTGCCTTGATGCTTGTGCACCCCAGTTGGGAAAGAAACTGGGCCAACCTGTGCCCTCAAGCAAAATACTGGTATGATTAACTGTGGAACAAATAAGATGAGTTTAACAGTGGGAGAAATCAGAATTAAATCTGTAGATTCTGCTTGTATTTGGAGCGGCAATGGGAAATTCTATGCTACAGATTTATTGTTATTATTCCTATGAGTTAGTACTGACTTTTGGTGATTGTCTGCACTCCCATCTCATCCTATCCCTCCCTCCCTCCTTTCCTTCCTTCCTTCCTTCCTTCCTTCCTTCCTTCCTTCCTTCCTTCCTTCCTTCCTTCCTTCCTTCTTCTTTCCTTCCTTCCTTTCTTCCTTCTTTCCTTTCCTCCATCCATCCATCCATCCATCCACCTACCTTCTCATCGACTGACTGACCCATCCATCCATCCATCCATCCACCCATCCACCCACAGACCGACTCATCCATCCATCCACCCACCCACTCACCCACCCACCCATCCATCCACCCACCCATCCATCCATCCATCCACCGACCCATCCATCCATCCATCCATCCATCCACCGATCCATCTCATCCATTCACTTATCGACCATCCCTCCATTCATCCATCCACCCACCCACCATCTCATCGACTGACTGACCCATCCATCCATCCATTTATATATCTATCCATCCCTCCACCCATCCATTCATCTATCCATCCATCCACCCATCCATCTATCCATCCATTTATCTATCCATTCATCCACCCATTCATCTATTCATCCATTCATCTACCCATCCATCCACCCATTTATCTGTTCATCCATTCATCCACCCATTCATCCATCCATCCATTCATCTATCCATCCATCCACCCACCCACCCATCCACGGACCAACTTATCCACCCACCCATCCATCCATCCACCCACCCACCCACCCACCTATCCCATGCACCCATCTATCCATCCCATTCATCCGCCCATCTGTCTTATTTATCCACCCACCCACCCACCATTGCTTAATGCTGAATGATGCTTTATAATGACTAGATGAAACCGCCTCTGTTGTCAACATTAGGATGGTTGAGTATTGTTTTGGAAATGGATGTTTCCAAGATTGTTAAGTTTGGTGAAAAACAAACCAGATTTTTTTTTAAAAAAACAACCTTGTCTGGTTTCCTGTAATAAGGAAATAAAAACATATTTAATCTTTTGCAAATTCAAACTGCCAGAGTCATTTTGATTTTCTTCCAAGGGGTTTGGGAACTGTTACCCTGGAAGGGAAGATCATTCTTTGAAATGGAGTCTTAGTTTTTCTATTCAAAATCCATTGTTCTGAAATCAAATAGCTATATCATTTGTTTTTAAAAATAATTGTTAAATTTCATTCTTTTAGGGTTTAATTTCACCCTATTACACTGAACGATTTGGATTTAATCCTGCCTGCCAAATAGTAGCCTTTACTGGAGACAATCCAGGTAAGGAGGTTTAAAATTCTGAGGCAAGGAACTTTATTTTTTGTTCAGTTTTATTTTGAGAAGGCAGGTGAACTGTCTGTATAATTGTTCTGTAGGAAAAATTTTCTCTATGAACAATTTCTTCAGCCATGTGTTAAAGCAGAGTTTTCCTGGATAAACCTTGGTATTCTCAAATTTTAATCCAATGCAGCCATCCAAAGAAGAAAGATCTACAAGTAGTTCTCAACTTACAACCACAACTGGCACCAGAATTTCCATTGCTAAGCAAGACAATTGTTCACTGAGTCGCATCTGATTTTATGACCTTTTTTGCCATGGTTCTTAAGTGAATCATGAAAGTTGTTAAGCGAATCCAGCTTCCCCCATGTATTTTGCTTGTGGGAAGCCAGCTGGGAAGGTTGCAGATAGTGATCACATGATGTTGTAACAGTTGTAAATGCAGGCTGATCACCAAGTGTCCAATCACGTGACTCTGATCAATGCTGCAAAAGTTGCAGTTAATTTTTTTCGATACTTGCTTCAAATATAACTTCAAACGTTTGAAGTTGTAAGGATAAGTTGTAATCAGCCTACAAATGAACAGTTGTAAGTTGAGGACTATCTGTACTTAGATCCTATTAGAATCACGTGACTAGAACTTCAGTTGATAATAGATGATGTCGGTATTATTGATCTCTGTGAGGATTCAGAATGAGTAATTTCTTATTTGTATGCTTTGCATACTCCAGGGACCTTCAAACTTGGCCCTTTTATGACTTGTGGACTTCAGCTCCCGGAATTCCTCAGCTTCAGGCATACCTGGCTGAGGTATGAAGTTTGAAGACCCCTGCCTTAATACTTCCCCCAGGCTTCCCGACCTAGCCAGTTTTTGGTTAGGTCTATCCTCCTCTTTCATTGCCTGCCTAAAATCAGTCTCTGCTCACTAATAGTCATCTCAAGGGTGTACCTGGCTGAGGAATTCTGGAAGTCCAGATCATAAAAGGGCCAAGTTTGAAGGCCCCTGGAGTACTCTATTCTTTAACTGAGCTTCTATATTTGCATTTTCAGCGTCTCTGGCCGGAATGAGACTTTCTGAAGGCGACATAGCAGTAGGTGTCACCATCTTCATTAACTAACCTCCATGTTGTTAATTGGATTAGGAATTTTGAGATCCATGCTCTCATGATGCTTAGAGAGCACCTCTAAGTTATCTACTCGGATCCCATTGATTTTGCTGGAATAGATGCAGGCCTATCCGTAAAGCTTTTCCTTGCTATGCTGATGAGCAGCATCTAGAGAAGCTAAATTTCATGATCTACCTCAGCACAGAAGTGGGCATTGCTTTGTCACGTTCCGCGCACTAGTTTATTACCATTATTCATTTATAGATCTCCTTGACTTATGATAGTTTGTTTAGTGGAGGGTTAGGCAACCCTGGCTCTTTTATGACGTGTGGACTTCAACTCCCAGAATTCCTGAGCCAGCATGGCTCAGCTTAGAAACCTCTCCTTTTCCCCTCAGCATGGCTGGCTCAGGAATTCTGGGAGTTGAAGTCCACGAGTCATAAAAGAACCAAGGTGGCCTACCCGTGATTTAGATTGCAAAAATGGATCACATGACCCCGGGATCCTGCAACCATCATAAATAGGGGTCAGTGGCCAAGCGGCTCAGTTTTGATCATGTGACCATGGGGATGCTGCAATGATTGTAAGTGTAAAAAAGGGCCATAAGTCTCTTTTTTCAGTGCCATTGTAACTCCGAACGATCGCTAAATAAATTGTTATAAGTCGAGGACTGCCTGCATAAATGGTGGGAAAACTTGCTTGGTGATGTGTGATTGGAGTGCAGCTTTAGGCCCCAGCTGACATTGCTCTTGGTCAGGGATCTTCAAATTTGGCAACTTTAAGACTTGTGGACTTCAACTCCCAGAATTCCTCAGCCAGCCCTGGCTGGTTGAGGAATTCTGGGAGTTGAAGTCCACAAGTCTTAAAGTTGCCAAGTTTGAAGACCCCTGCTCTTGGTCATTGAGGATTATGTAGCCATGAATTTTCCACAATAAATCCTTAGATTCTATTAGAATATTTTTTCTGCTCTAATGTTTTATATAAAGCTTGTAAGCAAAGCCAATACCACAAAAATTCAGTTGCTGTAATGTGTAATTTGAAGATAATTAGACGGCAAACACATAGGTTTGATTTAATTCCTGTATTGCTGTTTATGCTTTTCTGTTAATATCTTGATTATTTTCTTCCCCAGATTAGCCTTGGCACTAGTGATACCCTGTTTCTCTGGATTAAAGAGCCAAACCCTGCTTTGGAAGGTCACATTTTCTGTAATCCAGTTGATTCACAAGCATTTATGGCCCTGCTTTGGTGCGTGCCTTCTACTACATGACGTGTCAGAGTAGCTTTGTTAAAGGCATCATTTCTGTCATTTATTTTAATTCTTTAATGCTTTAGATCTCATTTTCAAAAGGCACTTCGGAGCTTGTTTTTATTTATTTTTTATCCTGCCTTATTATATTAATAAATCACTCAAGGTGGTGAGCATACCATTCTTCTCCTACTTTCTCCACTTAACTCTTAACATAGGTTGGGTTGAGAGAGAGAATTGGCCCCAAAATCACCCAGCTGGGTTTCATGCTTAAGGCGAGACTAGAACTCACAATCTCCTGGTTTCTAGCTTGGTGCCTTAAGCACTAGATCAAACTGGCTTTCTTACAAGATGTTTCTGCATCAACTCTCTGAAACATAGTAAGACAACTCCCTACTTTTCTTGGACAGCTTCTCAACCTTGGGGAAAAAAGAATGACCGCTTTAAGCTATTCCAGACTGGATTTTATATTCCCGTAATTGGGATGGCAGTTCTCAAAATTATGCCACTAATGTCTAAAGTTGAAGTCTAGATTTAATAGGGATTGCAATTTGTAGATCAGTCTGATTGGCTAGAATGTTGAGGATAGACGTCTCAATTTACAAGAATCCATGTCAAGAAAGGCCTGTTTGCAACAGGAAAATACACTTAGTTAATTTATTCTAAATTCTTTACTACTCAGAAATGAAGATTATAGCATGAATCATTCCGTTATTATAGATCTTTGCATCCTCAGTTGTATATAGGTGGTGCTTAACTTATGACCACAGTCGAGACCCGAATTTCCATTGCTAAGTGTGTCATGCCTGATTTTACAACCTTCTTTTGCTATAGTTTTTAAGCAAATCACTGCAGTTCCTAAGTAAACAATATGGTTGTGAAGAGAATCTGGCTTTCCCCATTAAGAGCCAGCTGGGAAGGTTGAAATGGTGATCAGATGACACCGGGATACTGCAAATATTGTAAATCCCCATAGTTACATGATCAAAATTCATGTGATTGTGAAATTTTTACCATGTTGGGGATGTTGTGATGGTCTTAAGTGTGAAGAATGATTGTAAGTCACTTTTTTCATTTGCTAAATGAACAGTTGTAAGTGGAAGACCACCTGTGTCAGGGAAAAACTGATGACTTCACAGAGGAAATTGCAATGAATAATCCATTTATTCAGATTACTTATTAATTAGTTTTGCTTAATTTGTAAAAATTAGTAAAAGATCTTTCTTTGAAGAAGTTTAATTACACTTTTTCTTGCTTTGGATAGCTTGACTACCACTATTACTAATGCAGTGGAAGACACCTAAACTCTTATAAATTTGTAAAAAGATTGGGTGTATGAAAATAATGTTGCATACATTATCTTTCTCCACTAGAGACTTAGTAAATTGGACTGTAGAGGAGAATATTTATGTCCAATCTTCTCCAATTGCAGAGGCGTTAGCCCTCCATGGTTCTCCATCGGCCATATTGCCTAGGGCAGCGGTAGGCAGCCTTGGCTCTTTTATGACTCGTGGACTTCAACTCCCAGAATTCCTGAGCCAGCCATGCTGAGGGGAAAGGGAGTTGAAGTCTGCTGGTTCAGGAATTCTGGGAGTTGAAGTCCGCGAGTCATAAAAGAGCCAAGGTGGCCTACCCCTGGACTAGGGGATTAAGGGAGCAGCATCCTGGGATGCAGTGGCATCAGTTGAAAACTAGTCCTTCATTTCTTACACACTTAAGTTTAATATGATGGAGTCAAGCATCAGGAAGCCTCTGGCCTTGGTATCAATATACATTTGTGAAAATAGGCTTTTTCTTCAGATCCACACTGCTACTTGGCAGCCCTGCAGTTACTTTCTGATTTTCTAACGCCAGATAATAAAACGATATTGCTTCAGAATTCTGACTAAACCTCTTGGAGAAATCAAAGAAGTCATGTATTGTTATTTGTTTTAGCTACAAGAATGGCTCCTTGATGCGAGAGAAGATTAGAGATGAGTTTGCGTTGGGCTCGTGGGAAGAATTCTCAGCAGTTCTTGAGTCAACAGCTGCTGGAAACGGTGGAAAGGTGGGTAGGTATCTTGGAAGATTTATAATTCCCCCCCTCCCCATCCTCTAGTTAGGTGGGATTTATTCCAGGAAAGAAGCAATTGGAGGAGAGTCAGTGCTTCTGCCTGTCTCATCAGATGGCTTGGCTGGAACTAACTGACCCTTTGTTTTTCAACCTTGGCATCTTTGAGACGCATGGACTTCTACAATTCCCCAGCCAGCGTGCTGGCTGTCTGCTTTTGTCTGGTTGAAATAAACCATATTTGTACATTCAAAAGAGGCAATAAAAAGCTAGGAAGAAAACAAAAAGATCAGAACAAATCCTCTCCAGCAGTCAACACCCAAATAAATAGGGATTAATACCAGATAAATAAACAGAACACAATATTCTAATGTGGGAACTACTAAGAAGAGAAACATCCCTCCATCCTGGCAAGGCAAGCTACTGTGTATAATAAACAGGGAACGAACCCCACACTCGCTAGCACTGATGATGTTGCTTAGTTAGGTAATGAAATGTCTGTAAGCAAACAAGCAAACATAGAGAGGACTAAGGGCTTCATGATGAAAAAGTAACTTAGTGACCAATTCTTGCATTTATGATCTTTGCAGGTTTGTAAAGCAAAGGAAAGCTGAAGTAAACATAGTTGTGCTTCTAGTTAGCAATACTTCATTTAACACCAGGACTACCTGTTAAATGCAACAAAATGCAAAAAATCTTAGGGGAGATTGACATTTATTTAACTGTAATCCTTTGAAGACTTATGACTGAATAAGTCTAAGTTTATTTTTTCTAATATTTGATTTAGGTTTTTATTTTGATGTGAGGGAAATTACACCAGAAGCTGTGGGAATTCACAGATTTGATGCCAGCAATGCCAAGGTAAGAGTCCTTACATGTGCATTTATGGGTTACTCCAGATTTCCTATATATGAAGCTTGATTTTACTTGTAAAATTGCCAGCTTCTGATTTTGCTTTTCCTGAAGTGAACAGTCCAAGACTATTCCTTAATTTTTTGAGGCCTCAGCTTTCCATCATGAGATGCCCTTAAGATGTTTTAGATTTCAACACCCAGAATACACCAATTAGTTCACAAATTAACAGATGATTTACAAGCAGTCTTTGGGGTTGTTGTAATCTTCTCGGAGGTTTGCAGGTGTGTGACTGAACAACTGTTGCAAATAGTAACTATCCAGGTGTTGAGAAATCTGCAAAGGCACCATACAGGTGGTTCTCGATTTAAGACTACAACTGAGGCCAGAATTTCTGTTGTAACTGTTAAGTGAGTCACACCCGATTTTACAAACTTTATTGCCTTGGTTGTTAAGTGAATCATACAGTCATTAAGCAAATCCAGTTTTCCCAACTGACTTTGCTTATGGAAAGCCAGCTGGGAAGTTGCATGGCCATCACATGATCCCGGGATGCTGCAACAGTTCTAAATATATGCCTGTTGCCAAGCACTCGGATTTTGATCATGTGACTGTGAGGATTTTGCAATGGTTGTAGATGTGAGGATCAGTTGTTAAGTCACATTTTTCAGAGTTGTAAGTTCAAATGGTCACTAAATGAATGGTTGTAGTGCTCCAGCTGCCTGCCCAAAACAGATTGCATTGGAGGCTTAGATGTTCAGTTTCTTTTCAGATACCAGCGTTCCCTAAGGACGTGGAAATACGGGCCTTGATTGAAGGACAGTTCATGGCCAAAAGGATCCATGCAGAAAAGCTGGGCTACAAAATACGTGAGTTTCTTTACATCTGGGTAAAGGGAGATCTGATTAAAGTGGCAAATGTTGCCTTCTCATCTCTGAGAAGTGGGTTGTTCTTCCTTGAAGCTGTAAGCCACAGCCTAATCAATGAACAGTCAAGAAGAAAACACTCCCACCAATATTTGGCAGAAAAGCCACTTGTATATAAACCAGTGGTTCTCAACCTGTGGGTCGGGACCCCATTTGGGGTCGAACGACCATTTCACGGGGGTCGCCAAACAATGCAGTCCACCATTTTTTCCCCCCTTTTCCTTAGACTCTTAAACAGAGTCTAATTCTATTGGCTTTCAAAAGCCAATAGGAATTGTCCAGGCTGTCTCTGCCCTGCTGAGCCCGCCAAAAGTCCCATTCTGCAAACGGTGCTGCACCAGTTGAGTAGTCCTCGACTTACGACCGGTTGAGTAGTCCTCGACTTACGACCGGTTGGGGGTCGTGGCATTAAAAAGGTTGAGAACCACTGATATAAACAGAGAGCAAACACCTCTCTCTTCTAGCGCTGATGATGTTACCTAGTTGGGTGATGAAAAATCATCAAGAAAACAGCCAAGTTCAGAGAGCACCAAGGGCCTTACAGTCACTTAAGTCAGATGAGAGGTGTGGAGATCTAAATAAATAAATAAATAAATAAATGGATGGATGGATAAATAGATGAATGAATACCGTTAAAGATAAGAAAAAGCTCATATCAATATTAATAATGGTTTCTAAAATGTTAATAAATTGTACACCTGGAGCTGAAAGGTAGCACTGATAAACAGCAACAAAATACATTCAGTTAATTAAAGCATACTTTAATTTGAAATTAACGGTTCTGGTTTAGAGAAGCAGCAGTATCCAGAGATCCTTTATTAAGATTAGATGAACATTGCATTGCAAACTCTGGCCCGTTCATATGTCTGTAGGGTGTCAAGATTCATGCACAAAAGGGGCCAAACTTGTGTTGGTGCAAAATTCATCTTGTCCTCTCTCCTGTGGATATCTCCAAATTAAGGGCTGATTCACTGGGGCAAATGAGACCTGTGATTTACTAAGGAGACCTCATATTCTGGTCTTCAGAATTGTCTTCAGTCTTCTTCTTATCCATATGACTATTTGAGATTACTGGGCTATAGGCAGACAGATTCTGTGGGCTGCCCAAATTTTTTCAAGCAGTTATGTCCATGGGGAAATTCCTTGCTGAGTTAATTCAAGAGAGGATTACTTCATGGCACTAAAACTGGTTAATATCTGCTTGCAAGTGTGTTTTGATGAACCTGGGTTTTACAGACCCTAACTCTGTAGAGCTCTTAGCGTATCCATTAATGGTTTATAGAGGAATAGCACCCCTGTAGCAGGAATTAAAAGAAATCAATGTGGTGTTTAGGCATGAGGCCTAATCGGTTTTTAAACTTCAGGCTAAGACCTACTCACAGCTGCAGTCATTGTGAAGGCTTCAGCCTTAAGGTGCCTAAATTGTTCACGTGTCCAATCTCAGCAGCTTTTCCTGTTCTTTGTAGCTTCCTTCTTAGTTGAAGTAGTGAAACATGTCAGGAAATACAAGTCAATGAGCTAATTGAGTGTGCCATGATTTTTCCGATGTATGTGAGTTTTTGAGTCGATTATTTAGACTTCATCTTAGCTAAATAGAACAACCAGATATTATCACAAATAGTGTGGCTGTATTATTATTATTATTATTATTATTGTGGATCATCGCACAGTCAGCCAGATGTTCAGACTGGATTTGGCATTTTGTCTACCTATCGAGTCCTTACCCAGGACCTGGGATAGGCAGATGTGGATGTTTGATGGTATTACAGGTATCGTCGCAGGATGGAAGCAGTTCCTAGCAAGGCCGCCTTTTGCAATTGACTAATAGCGAATTTGTCAATGCCAATGGTGTTCAAGTGGTGCTCCAGTTGTTTTGGGATTGCACCCAAGGAGCCTATGACTATTGGTACTACCCTTGCTTGCTTTTGCCACAGTCTTTCTATTTCTATTTGTAGGTCTTTGTATTTTGTTATCTTCTCCAGTTCTTTCTCTTCTATTCTGCTATCTCCAGGCACTGCCACGTCCACTATCCAGACTTTTTTGTCTTTCTTATCGACAATTGTTAAGTCTGGGGTGTTATGTTGCAGGTGCTTGTCTGTTTGAATTCTGAAGTCCCAGAGCAGTTTAATTTTATCATTTTCTATGACTTTCTCTATTTTATGATCCCACCAGTTTTTGCTTACAGGCAAATGATATTTTTTGCAGATCTTCCAATGCACCATTGTTGCTACTTTGTCATGCCGCTGCTTGTTGTTGTTGTTGTTGTTGTTGTTGTTATTATTATTATTACTACTACTACTACTACTACTACTACTACTACTACTACTACTACTACTGTTTTTATTATTGTTGTTGTTGTTCCTTATTATTATCTTCTTTGCTTCTCCCTTTTATTGGTGGTATTATTATTATTCTCTCTGCTGCTTTGCATGTACACCGAATGGACTAGAGACAAATTCCTTTTGCATCTAATCACACTTGGCCAAATAAAGTATTCAATTCAATTCAGTTCAGATTCTGAACAAATATACATTAGAATGTGATATGCCTGAGATATATAAATGGTGTTGGCTTTTTAAAAAATTCCTTAGAAGTGTTTGGCTATTGAAAGCAAAATTTGGAATAAGTTGATAGTTGTTCTAATATTGATGGAGAGGATTTTAGCACAATTTAAGTACTTTCCTTCCAGGGTGTTATATAAGATCTAGCTGCACAACAGTATTATGAAATAGTGTTATGGGAATATAATCTTAACACTGTTCAATGTTTGTCATCGTCTCATATTTAAGGACTTTTTCTGTCCAGGAGAGGGCATTAGATCCCATGTCATGGCTGTTTTATATGTTCGTTTGGTCATTTAATCCCTCCTATTTATCTGTTCAGATGAATATCGGGGCTAGTTTCCAATTACAAAGCATAAAACATACAGCTTTCCCCCCGCCCCCCAGTAACTTTGTGTTCCTCTTAATCTAAGATGACAGAGAAAATCCTTCAAAGATGTTCTGTGTCATGTTTCACCTCAGTCTGAAGTAGTATTTTTCAAACTTGGCAAATTTAAGATGAGCGGAATTTAAGATCAGCTCCCAGAATTCCATAGCCAGCGTGGAGGGAGCAATTGAAACTATTGATATTTAACTCTTCCTGTTATTATTTAATTATTTATTGAGCCAGCTTCATTAATTTTTTTTTTAATTACCCCAAGGCATCAAAAATATCTAATATTCCTTCTCCTATTTTCCCCACAACAACTGGATTGTGCTGAGAGAGAATGACTGACCGCTTTCAGGCCTGCGCGGGATTAGAATTCACTATCTCCTCATGATCGGCCCAGAGTCACCTAGCCGGCTTTCAGATCTGAAGAGGGACTAGAACTCACCATCTCCTGGTGATCGGGCCAAAGTCACCTAATTGGCTTTCATGCCTAAGGTGGGACTAGAATTCTATCTCTGGTGACTGGCTCAAAGTCACCCAGCCAGTTTTCATGCTTAAGGCAGGACTAGAACTCACTGCCTCTTGGTGTCTAGTTTGGTGCCTTAACCAGTAGGCCAAATTGGCTCAATTTTTACTAGCTGATTTATTAATATATGTTATATTTGAGTTTGAGCCTGTTCTGTCCATTTTTTCCTACAAAAGGTACTTCCATGTGTGGGTTTGGGTGATAGTTTTGTTTATTTATTTATTGTCTTTTTTTGGCGGGGGGGGGGCATGTGTGTGTGTGTGTGTGTGTGTGTGTGTGTGTGTGTGTTAAGTGCCTCCCTTCCTCTCTTTTAAAAATGGTGTGTAACAACTGTAGTCAATGATTTAATTGGATTTACTGTGAAAATGTCTGGAGGCTTTGTTTCTTGGTCTCCCCAGAGTTTTGCAAAAGTTCTCAGGGATCAAATTGTTGAGTTGCTAAAAATAAATCCTTCACCAAGGTAACCCAGCCCATATGCTAAGAAAATACCATGCATCTACCATATGAGCATATGGAATGTAATGAATTTATTATGCAAATACATTCGGTCTGCCTTTTTTGTATAATTTATTCTGCTCTTCCTTGCCCTGTGAAGGAAATGCTGGAGCCTCTGCAGGATATAGTTAAGATTCACCTATTAACTAGAATCTTATTCCTCAGTTCATCTCTTATCTCTTTGAAGATAATTTCTTTGTATTTTCAAGTTGATAACAGAAGGCCAATAGCTGGGGTACTTTATTTTTCTTTAAAAATGTAAAATGAGCTTTTCAAGATTATCAAGTGATGGGCAAGAGATCCCGAGGGAGACTGGTGGAAATTAACCTCGATACTCTCACCATGGGAGAGGTGAAATTCCTCATGACTTCATAACATAATAGTGGGGAAGTACTGATGGATCCCAAAATACAAGTGTTTGGCATATGGCCCCAGAATTACTTGGCTAGAAACACAATACAGGTAGTCCTCGACTTACGACCACAATTAAGCCCAAGCTTTCTGTTGCTAAACGAGACAGTTGTTAAGTGAACTTTGCCCCATTTTACCACTTTTCTTGCCACAGTGAATCACTGCAGTTGATAATAATGTGATTGTTAGGCGAATCTGGCTTTCCCATTTTGCTTGTAAAAAGATTGCAAAAGGGGATCACGTGACCCCGGGACGCTGCGACTGTCATAAGTGGCCCAAAATCTGAATTTTGATCATGTGACTGCGGGGATTCTGCAAAGGTTGTAAGTGTGAAAAATGGTCATAAGTCACTTTTTTCAGTGCTGTTGTAACAGTCACTAAATGAACTATTATAAGTTGAGGACTACCTGCACATCGTTACAATTGATCATTTAGCGACTGTTTGAAGTTAATGACGGAGCGATTCCCTCTGTCGTCAGACAACTGAACTCTGGGTGTTCTGGACCGTTATAGCTCTATGTAACCCTAACTAGTGAGCATGTATCAGTATGTTAGAATATCTGGCAGTTATTGGGTTAAA